TAGTTCGCTACTGTTAGTGTTGAGCCCTGGGTCAAATTATGTTGCTCAGCCTGAAATAGCTATAAGCTGCAAGTTGATTATCACTGTGTCTTGCATGATAAAAAAGAACTTGGTCAAAAGTAGATTATGAAAGGCAACATAAAATTATTGTGAGCTTAATCATCAAATAATGACAGATATTTATTTGTAAGGCACATGTTACAGAGTCCTTGTACCACATTAAACATCAGACCTTTAGGTCTTGTGATCAGATGCTTCTCTAGAAAGATAACAGAGAACCCTTTGGTTCAATGGTTTTACATAAATTCTCTAAAATATAAATGATCAATGACATGCAATACAATGACTTGGAACATAGTAGTGTTACTTCCACACAGACGGTCTTTATCCACTGTTTTCCAAGTCAAAAATGGAATTTGGGTTTTGCATCACCCACTGCCTATCTTTGATTAAATCAACATTAAATCAAGACTCAGTAAAATTCTCTTTACCATTGTAGCCCATGATAATTCCTGGAATCTCCAGATAACAACACCTGTAACAGAATATCTGCCCACAAAGACGACAATGATGCCGACGACGAAAAGTGTTAAACTTTTCACTACACTCGTAACATTCTTTGCAGTGGTCATCTGGCATCCAATATTGCTTGAAATCACTCTCTTTATACTCCTGTCGTAGCTAAAAGAAAGACACTTTTAAGTAGTTGATCTGTTTTCAAAACATAGGGCATTATGATTCCAATTCTCACAATGCGAACCAGCTGACTTCAACATGTAATCACTCACTTAAACATTACCCAGCACAACCCTTTTACTCTGAAGAGTGACCAACAAGGAACTTCTTGGAAAGATTTCCATATAACTACATACTATCTAAAACAAAGCTATACACCACTGTGCAGTCCCAAAGACAATCTATTGTTTTTACCAATGATTTTTTGGCAAGATTTCTGTATAACCCCATACATGAATTACGTATAGAGTGTTGCAAAGAAACTTTTGTATTTAGTCATTACGAAATGGAATGCATAATTAATGTATGGGGTTATATGGAAATCTTTCCAATTTTTTTTTATCCTAGAACTGTACACATAATGAAGAATGGGGTTGTGCAAAAATCTTGCCAATTTTCCATATGTTTTAGAGCAGAAAGGTTATGCAAAATAAGGAAAAAATACCAGTTCAGAAATAATTTTTTATTTGACTCAAATTGTCGTTGCCAGAATGCAAGAAACCTATGACAATCAATGGAGACAATTGATGTCAAAATCTTGGGAGTAAATGGGGATCAGCATAAAAAATTACGAAACGAAGTAACTGGTTGGGCGTTTCTGCCATTAGCAGGGACATTTCGTTCCAGCAGAGTTGATATAAACTCTATTAACTCTGGTTCCAGCCATGAAAAATTACTGCTTTCTGACAATTTTCCCAACCCATGCATCGCTACACTACATGTACAAAGATCAAGGCTAACCTGTCCTCTCCCGCCTGCAGCTGCGTTTAAACGGCCGAGCACGGCGTGCACATTGCGGTAGCCGGGCGAGGCACGCCGCTTAGGCACAGGCGTGCTGTGCGCGCTGGCCCTGTGACCCAAAGCAGATGTCCAAGATCTGTGAAACGGCTCTGGACTTTTCGCTCGGTTCTGTGGTTTAGGAGAGCTTAGTGGGCTTGTTGAAGGGCTGGATGGACGTTGGCTGTTAGTTGCATCAACCCTGACTTCCACTCTTTCTTCATGGCGTTTTCTCTGAAAAAATCGAGCTAAAGAGAAACCCGTTTTGGAATGTTCTGGACTGATTGGACGAAACGAAGTGAGGGTGAGATCATCATTCGAATCCCCCATATTGATTTCAACGCCACAGTATCTTAGAACTCATTTTTGTCTCTGTTACTTTCCGCAACATTTTCAAACAATACAAATGAAATACTACTTGAAAGCTGAGAAATTTTCCAGTGAATTCCCTTTCAGTCCCACAACCTGATCACCGATCTTCTCCAACAACAACAACAACATCCTTCTGAGCCAGCGGTTTTCTCATTACCATATTGCACGTAATTGAAGTAAAGTGTAATCATAAGAAGCGATGGCTGCCAACGGGGTAGAGAATTTATTTGAAAATTTAGAACTGCAACTTTCAGAAGTTGAGATGCTTCGATCTATGTATCCTGAAGAGGAAGAACTTAAAACAGATGACCAAGTTCTCATAGATATTCAAGAATTTTGTTCTGGTATAACAGATAAGACACCAAATGGTCTGAACTTTTCAGTGACCGTAACTGTAAACTGTCATTCAGAAATGTATTTGATCGAATTATCGTGCTATTTTCCTCAAGAATACCCAAATGAAAAACCAGAGATCTTCGCCAGATCTCAGATACTTAACAGAGACATACAGAAAGAGTTGAATGATGACTTGAATGTGCATATTTCAACACTTGCTCGTGGAGAACTTTGCACTTTACCAGCTATTCAATGGGTCAAAGACAATGGAGAACTATATATTGCAAAAAACCAAAACTTGAAAGCGGTTACACTTACGGAAAAAAGTAGAGACGCAAATAAGTGTAAGAGTAAAAAGGATACATCGTTCTTGAGAATGTGGTTGTACATGCATCACATTTACAGTAAAACAAAGCGAAAGGATATCCTTCAATGGGCTTCAGACTACAACCTCACTGGCTTTTGTCTGCCCGGAAAACCTGGAGTTGTTTGTTTGGAAGGAGACGAGTACAACGTTGAAGAATACTTTAGTCGCTTGCGTCGACTTAACTGGAAGAAAATAACATGTAGACGTAGGGAGAAGGGAGCAGCCGACAAGAGCATTGATGAACAAAGAAGATTTACAGGGTTTGATGAACTTTTTTTCGAAATTCATGGCACTAGAGAAAATCACATGGACATGGGACAGTTTCGACATTACTTAGATCAGCATGATCTAGGTTATATATTTCAGATTCTGTTTGGTATTGAGGGTAAAACTACCTTTGATGGTTTATAGTGGTCAGTGTTGTGAAGAATTAAGGAAGATTTGATGCATCAAAAAGACTAAGGAAATATTTTAAAAATCAATAATGGCTATGAATAAACCACTTAAATCTTGGTCCAGTCATCCCAGACCTCTATATGCTATACATCCTATAATTTGTGTAGGTTCCTATAAAGAGCCCTTATTTCATGAAATCCTCCCATATTTCCTGTAAAATAAATAAACCACGTATATCTTGGTCCAGTCATCCCAGACCTCTATATGCTATACATCCTATAATTTTTATAGGTTCCTATAAAGAGCCTTTATTTCATGAAATCCTCCCATATTTCCTATAAAATTTATTGAGATAGGAGCGATGACTGTCAAATTATGCATTTATATTTTTGATGCTCTTATTGGCATTTTTACAAACAGTGGCTACTCTTTCCTATGAATATTCACTTACTATTTCTTATTATTTGGCAAAGCCCGAATAAAAATGAATTGTAAAATTGATGCTAACAATATAATAACAGGCCTCCTGTGGTACTAAATACTAACAAACTGCTGCTTAGGTTTCATATTTCAACCAAATTTTGTTAAACTTCGGATAAGTTTTAGTACAATGTAGGCCTTATGACTTGAGTCTCAGGTTAAACCAAGGTGTAGCACAGGCCTAAAATTTTAATTACGACTTTCAGCTAAAATATAAATTTCTTTTGGTTAAGATTAAAGAAGTTCTAAAATATTATCATTCATTGTTCAGACTACTGCTAAGTTGAATATTTATCACCAAACTAGAAGTAAAACCCTCAATGAACTGATGTATTGGAAAAATTAATATTTCATCTCTCTTCCTTTTTGCACACAAGTGAAATTTTGAGAATGGCCTATTTTGTCTTAAATTTTGTCTATCTTGAATTCCCCAACAGGAAAATAGATTTTTCAATTTTTCCCCAAATGGAAGCAGCCTTTCTGAAAACAATCTAAATCACATTTGGTTACTTAGCAATACCTATCAACGGGCAAAATATGAGCGAAAAGAAATTTTCACTCAGGCTGAATTTTTATTTTTACTCCTAAAAGCTTTTTTGGCTCTGATAAAGTGCCTTTATTTTGGGAGAAAATGCTATATTTTCCTATATTTAGAACTTGCACAGCCTATATTTCCTATCAAATTGTTCAAAAAAATGGCTAGGATGCCTGTTGGTCTGAGGGAAAGTTCATTGACGTATCCAGTATTTTCTGCTGTTTTGATAGCATCTTTTAGATGAGTGATCTACTGTTAATTTTGGCTCTATAGTTAAGGGGCAAGACATGCCAATTGTAGCTAGGTACCCAATCTTACTACACTTAGCTTTTAAGTGGAACCAATCACGACTGCTTAAAATCTTGGCTAATCGATACCCCATGGTCATACAAGAGATTTTTCCCAACATCTAAACTAAATTAAAAATTTGCAGCCAAGATTATGCCATTCTTCTTATAATAATAATAATAATAATAATAATAATAATATTTAATACTTATATAATTTATTACATAATGCTACTCACTGAAAAAAAAAAAAAAAGAAAATTGAAAGATTCATGCTCAACCGATATAACACGGATCAGTAAGATTTCCTCGACAGTTTGCAGGGATAGCAACAGGTGAAACTGGAAATATGGTGATTTTTGATTATTGAACAAAAGCCTTTCTCCAACCTAAGCTTTTGTTAACTTTTTGCTTCATATCAGCCTCTTCCAACAATCCGAATATCTCTTAGACAGAGGTAAAAATGGAATAAAAAATACATTTTACCTTGAACAAGAACATGATATTCATCATTATTCAATAAAATAAAATTTTACATGTTTTCTTTGTTAAATAAAAATACGCAGATTTTTCTTTCACGGGGAGATTTAGCAAATCATAGGTACAGAAACTGGGGGGGGGGTTTGTTCTTTATCTAAGGGAGTTAACATTCACAGTAATATGGCTCCTGACATCTTTGGATTTTGTTTGAAATTTTCCCATTAGAGTTTTTCACTGTAGTAGGCTTAATGTTAAGTACGACAAAAAATACCCTTCTGTTTGCTGTAAAAAGGTAAAGATTACGTTTACAGTAGTAATTCGATCAATCTCTTGTGGTTGCAACGCAATAAAAAGGCTTTGTCATACATCGTTGCGTGACTTAGTGAAGCTCATATCGGGGCCTGAGTACTAATCTCCTGATTTAATAATCTCTTGCTGTTTCGCTGGTGTTGCAGTGCTGAAGGTTCCCCTGTTGTTCGTTGATATTGTTCGGATTCTCCAAGAATAACAAACAGGTAAGTCATCAAACTGTCCTTTGTGTTAAGTACTTGTGAGCCTCATCCTCCTTCGGGATAGAACGCAACTAGATTAGGAAGAAAATTTGTGAACTTTGCTCAAATACGCGACTTTTCCGCGGGGTGATAGCTGGTGTCTTTGTGTTCGGTCCTTCGGAATGTCTTCAAATGTCTCGTTTGTGCTTTTACTTACGACCCTATAAGTGTCCACGCTTAATGAAATATCGGTCAATTTGATATTTTTCTTAACTCAATGTGTCGGTTGAAGTTAAATTCGTCTTGTGTTGTTTGTACGATAGTAACTCTTATAGCTTCCGTTTAAACAGTAGCGTTCCTTCGGAGGAAGAATTGTTCAGTGCGACTGGCCTGTATGTAAATTTGTGGGGGCGGTAATTTATAGAATCAATGGCTGTAGAATCCTTTCTTTGACAATTTTCATTATCAATTCAGCTACAATGAACTTCCAGAAAATGTATTATAAAGCATCGTAGCTTGTGATTTTAACCTAAGATCAGTATTATTAGAACGAGACCTGGGTAAATTTTACTTGAGAAATGACATTTGGTTTGTTCGATCTGACTCAGCCTCCACCTGGTTCTTTAAAAAATAAATTTTGCTTTTGGATATTTCATTTTCGTTCATCCATAAAGATGTTTTCTAGAGAAATGGATATGAAATAATTACTTACCGATAGCCAATGTTAATATTTGAGCGCGTACATTTGTCATGATTAAAAGTAGCAACCTGTATGGGTAAAATTGCGGTCGATTTGAGCTGGTTATCGACTTATTTTGTATCTTTATAATCTTATTCGGTAATCGTCAAACAGAAGGTCAATAACTCTCTTCTCGTATTTGTAAACGGAGGCTTCTGGGACAATCCTAATTGCAAGCATATAAAAGACAAAGCTGTGTACAAGGAACGCGGTTAATTATAATTATAATGGATTCAAACAACCGTAACTACAGGAACCGACTACAAAAACTTTTTCGTGCCGTCGACTCGCCGATTTTTGTTATTCTTGTCGTCGAGGGAGAATTCTTTGCTGACATTATTTCCGCAGTAAGTTCGAGACGAAACAGGAACTTCCCTATTTTAACTCTGATATATTGCCGTGGACATTTTAATATCAATTAACATTAAAAATTCAACTTGAACTGTAATATTGTTAATGTATCTAAATTCATTATTAATGGACATACCTTTTAGATGGTTAGAAATATATCCTTTGATAGTGCAAGTAATGCTGTTTTAATTCGTTTTCACTAGTTACATCCTAGCTTAACATAAAGCTTGACTTAATATGATGTCTTTGATATCACCATGACAGTGCTAGTTCCTTGTTGCAAATTGTTGTTTTGTTCTACTTTGTATTGGACTGTATGAAAAGTCCTTGAGCCAGGCTGTTCATATTTTGTAATGTCAGTTCATTTATTGGCATCCAGATTATACAAGTTATTTTCGATACCAGTTATTAAAAAGAGGATCAAAAGGAGGCACCCAATGTAAGACAAATTATAGCCTTAAGAATGTATGTCTTTGTGCAGCACTTTTGATAAACGGCATGTTACTGCTACATTTCTTCACATCCTTAAACTACTGAGTGCTAATTACGAGAAAACTCAATCGTTTGGTCTAACTGAAATGCCATGTCCCAGAAATGTTAAAAACCACAAATTATATAAACAAAGTTATCTCAAAGTACAAAGTTTATTATCTTAATTACCACAGGACTTCATCCTGTGGATGTTTTTTCATGGGTCAGGAGCCAATCTACCTTCTCAGATATGATTATTTGATTCCATAACCTTTAGGAAAGAATCCAGGTTGGCAAAGGCACAAAATTAAAACTGAGGTAGAACAAGACATATCTCTTAGATTAAAAATCCTTTTTATGTCCAAAGTGCTTATGGAAGAATATACTCAGTGGCTTGATGGTAAAGAAACTGTACTGTAGATCTAGGTCAGGGGTCCTTGTAGTTGTTAAAGTAATGCTATTTTTGACAGGGGGTATGTTTACATGAGAGGTAATTACTAGTAAATAAATATTATCTTAATTATGATTAAATCTACTTGTTTATCACATCTTGACCCTTAAATTCCCAAGATGTAGTTCTTAATTTTCCCCTCTAGTTGCTACACGTTTTTTCATCAATGGTTTCAAGGGATTTGGTGTTGTGTAGATCTAACCCATTTGCTGGATAATGTATGGATATTATAAAGAAAAGTTAAAAGTGAAATTACTTCTGGGAGAAAAGGGGTTGATGGTCCAATCCAGAAAGGGCTAATTAATTATTTGAGTATGAACTTGCAAACTGCAAATGAGATAACTAAACTTGCTTTCTGTGTTATGGCTGTATGCATCGAGGCTTTTGTATTAAAGCATATCATTGCTTTGCTAATATTGAAGTACTCTGTTTTATGTTTATTTATTCAAATTAGATAATGTCAACCAGCAGTCAACCAAGCTCGGACGCCACCATTGTAAAAGTAGGATGGCTTCAAAAAAGAGGTACTTGTCTGTTTAGAAAGTTAAGCGAGTGGAAAATTTATACAGCGATAAAATTGAGCTGATATTGCAGCAGTATAATTTATACGGTACTTGACCCATTTTACCCCTTTATTAATATGCACTTTCGCTATGCCTTTCTCTATACATTTTCTATGGTAATTTGACAAGGGGAAGTAATTTTACAATCAAGGCCTTTTGATACATTTTACGTATCAGAGCGTTGTAGACCGGAACTCTTTAAGTCAAGATATACGTGACACCGCTGTGCTTTCTTACTTTAAATCTAAGCTTAAACATGCATTTTAGTTAAACATGCATTGTCGACTGAAAGTATAAGGTTTCTATTCTTATCTAGTTCTAGCTTAGCTTTTTAATTTTTATTGTAATTCTTTTGTAGCATATGCAGGGTCTCACTGAAGAGCACCTTTTGGTGAAGTGGGCTCCCTGTTAAAATATTGTTTGTAGTGTTTACGGCGACCAAAATCTAAATTCTCAAGTTCAAGGGCGTGTCGCTCCAAAATACGTTTAACGAGGTGTTCGGGACTATTTTACTGATCAAAATGACGAACCAAAGTTGACTGTTTGGACGAATCTTTATTCTTGAAAGGCAATCGACCACTAACCACAATCAACGACGAAAATAACGATTATTCTCAGTCAATCAATCTATGGAATGATTGATCTTAAACTGAAACAACAATACAATGAAGTTCTATCAATCTAATCAAAAGCCGCGGAATACATGATCAAAGAATCGCGTGTCAAATACTGGGCTCTAACATCTATAACGAGATTAACAATACAAGTAAAACAGAACAAAAGTTTCGAAACAAATTAAAAGAGTTTTGGTGGCTGATAAACAGCCCATTGTTCTATCTAAATTATGGGCGTTCACTGACTCCCAAATTGGCAGGAATTTGGCCTTTAAATCTTAAATCCATACAGATCATTGCAATATTTGTTTGTATATTGTCGCCCAACACTGAAAAGACTGGAAAGGAAAAAACAAAGTTACAAAGGTACTCACATATCGGTCCCGCTTGTGCCAGAGGTTGAGAAAACGAAAGGGCGAAAGTTTACCAAGGCTATTCAAAACTTATGAAGAACTGATTAAAGGGATGCTAAACTTGCCTTTTATATGCGCGTGGTGACGCTGAAAGGTCCAATTACAAAACCAATAGAAATAAAGCAAAACAGATAAGCATTGTAACTATGTGGCTATCTAAGATCATTCTGAAATTAGTGAACTAATCAATAATCAATTAAAAAATGAGCCTTCCAGCTAATGTCCTTAACATTGTTATTATTATTATAAAATATTGTTATTATTATGTGGACAAGACCTTCTACATTAATTTATAACATACCAAGGAAAACATTCCTCAGTTTTAATTTAACTGAAACCTTTATTTGTCCTTCCTAGAAAATACTAGGTACAGTTGATATAAAATTGACGACAAAACCTCATGCTCACATGGGGGCCCAGCAGAAAAAACAAGTCTGCTGACACATGACACAACTCCATTGACATGATTGTGTGCAGGTGCACTAAACTACACTGGGAGCCCAGTAAACAACATAATAATTAACTTCAAGTACCAGTTATATTGTTACATTGTCACTTGACTACAGTCAGTGACTACATTTGATTTGTAATAATTAAAACTTGAAATCTTATTTTAGGCGAATACATAAAAAATTGGAGACCAAGATACTTTCAGTTATGGAGTGATGGCAGTTTTATCGGTTACAAGGAACTTCCAAAATCAAAAGACGTGGAACCTCTTAATAACTTCTCAGTTGACAGTAAGTGCAAATATTCCCTTTTACGAATGGTTACAATTATGTCTCCACCTCAGATCACAGGAAAAAAGTTTAATTTTAAACTGACATTTTTTAGGCAAAGTGATAAGAATATTATGCTGCATGTGATCACTGCTGTTTATTTTGTCATCAAACACGATTGTTTTTCTTTGACTGTTTCATACTTCAAAATAAACAATTATTCCATGAATACAGGTTGAGCTAGGATATGATAGATAGTCAACAAGGGCTGTAGGGAGCCGAGTTTGTTATCAAATCATCTCGTATCCAAAATGTGTGACTAGAATAACTGTTTATTTAAAAACACCCCAAAATATTGATTAATGATAAATACATTTTCTTGTTAGATTTTAATTTTGAGTTGACATGTACACTTACTGTATTTGTAGAGCATGGTATAATGCCTCTTATTATCCAAATGTGCTTCATAGAGTACAAATAATGCGTGAGGTGAGTGCAAATATCACGCAAGATTTGTACTCCAGAAATATCTGCGAAATTCGCCCGCACTGAAACAACAATTTGGCATATTGGCTAATAAATCTCTTATGAAATGTTTTGTTGTGTAGTATCACTGAGTATTTTGACTCGCCCTATGGGCTTTTCAAAATACAGGACAACTCATAAAAATACTCAGTGATACTACAAAACAAAATATCTATTAAGATCAGGGTTCCCGTGCTCCTTGAAAGTCCTTGAATTTAATTTTTTGTTTTCAAGGACTTGAAAACCCTTGAATTTAGACTCAGGTCCTTGAAAATTTCTGAAAAGTCCTTGAAAATAAGTGCAGATGAATCAAAGTTGAAGTTTTCTTTTGTTGTTGATGTTGAAAGTGTAAGTTTCAAGCACAAATTGCGAAAACGAGTTTTCCTTTCAAATCCTGCGTCCGATTATGTTGTTTGACATGTGATTTTTATATATTTTGTACCTACAGTAATTGGTGCATTGAAAATAACCTTGGTTACTTAACCCATGATCACTCTTATGTGCATGCTTGAAGTCACACTTGTTGGACTTTACAGCTGGTCCTGTACGTAGTGTTTTTGTTTGTATTAGCCCCTATTTTATGCAAAAGGTCCTTAAATTTGAGAGCCAAGGTCCTTAAAAATGACCTAAAAAGTCCTTGAAAGTCCTTGGATTGGGTTCCTGAAAAAGTGCAAGAATCCTGTAAGATATATATAAGGCATAATGACTGAGCCAATGAAAACTCTTGAATTGCATTATCCAGTGATAAGATATTTACAGATGGCTTAACTGAGCTTTGAAATCATTAATTGAAGATATTATAATAATTATCAATTATAATTCATCAAGTTAAGACTGAAAGTAGAATAAGATAGTAGGTGTTAACCCTTTCACTTCAACCTTAAGATTCAACTATAGATTCTCCAAACTGTTTATGGTACATTTCTTATGATTTTAGATCAAAGATTTTGATGTTAACCCATTAATGACTGCAGCTTTTGTGAAAAACTGTGTTTTGAAGCTAGTTGAGCAGATTTTGGGTCTCTGTTGTGGTTTTAAAAGCTCAAACTTACCAAAAACCCTTTGACAGCTTGTACACTAGACTACCTTTCAATCCAAATGCAAAATGGCGGCCTGAAAATCTCGGGCACGTGCAGAAAGCAAAATTTGTTTTTGAGTTGAAAAGTAATGCCCCACCTATGACTTACTTTTCTCTCTTTCTCCTGCCCTTTTTTCCCCCTCTCCTTGCCTGAAGTTTCTCCTCACTTGCTGGAAATTTTACTAGGCTTCATTTTGTTGTATAGATTTTTTAGGAAACTACTCATTATTTTCAAACCACATGCTCAGAAAGGTAGGTGGGTAATGGAACAAGATTTTCGTGCAGATTTTCAGGTCAAAGTTACATGGTTTTTTGGCTATTTCTCCAATCTCCTTCACTCAATTGCGCTCATTCTGGTATCGTTTGTAAGATATTTTCAACCTGTTCAAGTACGTGCTCAAAGTCGTGCTCCAGGGTTAAAAGTGATGACGTCACAAGGCGTAGAAAGGGTGTGGGTCCACATGGGCGCATACGGGCGCACTGGACGTCAATAGGTTAATCT